GTAAGGAATAAATTAGGTAAAATTGGGTAATAACAGATTCTACTAATAACATCAAGCATGACAGCTCTTCGAAATCGGCATGTTTCTCTTACTAGCACGTTATGATGAGAGAGGCCGAACTATAACGAAAATAAGTGCAATATTAGTGCAATTAGTACTAATTCACGACTATTAATCCGCAAGGTTAAAACACGTTAGAACGCGTGATTGATGAAAATTACGAATTTCATTATTCCATATTGCGAGTAAGAAGAGCTTTATTCATTATGAAATGTCACATAAGTAGTCTCTAAATCGCTACGTTTGTTCTGCCCAATCTATTTTGTTTTTCATGTGCATTCGTAAAACATGTCCTTATTATGTATTCTTAAATTTCAACGTCCCATCAGGAAAGAGATATCGTTTAATGAAACTCTTCAAAATAAACGATTTTGTAAAACACACTTGTGAATCGCGATATTGTGAAGATGCCGAAGAGAGTTACGAGGGTACTTTTATTGCCTACAGATTAAAGTTAATTTGTAGAGGTGGAGTATATTTGTACACAAGCACATTTAATGAAGTTTTAACATTTGCATCTCACGAGAACAGCGTAAACCCAAGCGCTCGTCGTGACAGCGTTGCCCCGGCAGCGACAGCGCGCGCCTGCAGTTCTGCCACCCGCCACGCCGATCGCGTTTCGCGCCCACCGCCACCGCGCGCCACCGTCGTCTCTTGGCGCTTGCCGCCGCGGCCTCCGCGGAGCCGAGAAGCTCCAGGGTTGCCACCGGTGGGGGGCGCATCACATCAATTGATGTCATTGCAGTGCCTGTGGTGCTGTCCGGGAGGCCCTAGGGCTCCACTCCCAAAGGTGGCAGGACTTTCTGCACTACCTTGATAGTTGGGTCGAGTTCAGCCGCTGTCTAGGGGAGAATTCTAACGGCCGACGGCTCTGATCGGTAGTTTTCCATGGTTTCTCCCATCAACATCAGGCGAGTGCCGGAGCAGTACTCTAACAAACCGGGAAATGGCCGCGCGAGATTTTTCCTTTCACTTCCTTGTCCTATCCTTATCGCCTACTAACACACCCTTGCATGTATTACAGTACCACTTGCCAGGAGATCAGTCGGAAGCTTAAGAGTTTGTCCCGACTGTGTCGTTGCCCCTCTGGTGGAAAATAGATGGTAGGTGAAAATCCCGCTGGCCGACGTGTAGGTTGGCGCCGATGTGGTTTATTTATTATTTAAAACTAATAAAACAGGGGTGACAAGCTGTGTGGCTACCTGGAAGATATTTTCAGATCTGATAAATGAAGCTTCACTAAGCGCATGTTTTTTAAGCTCTCGTTTTGCTAGCTGTGGTACGAGTAGGGTCGCGGGGGGGGGGGTGTTAAATTGTTAGCAATACTTAAAAAATAAATCTGCAGGTCAGTGCCAAATAGCCGGACAGCCCGGACCCGGTTCAGACCGACAGCCGGACAGTTCAGAACCGAACAGCCAACAGCACTTACAAATCTGTAGTTCGTTTATCAATGCAAATATTATTTTTCTATAACTCGGGAAAGACAATGCACAGTTATTAAATGTTACTAACTTTGTTACTACTTACTAAAATGTTACTTTGTTGGTATTTTAATTCATCATACAATTATTTATTGTTGAAGGGAAAGGAAGAAATATTGTGTTCAAGGAAACATGTGCAGATTGAACTTCCCATACGGCACATACTTTTTACTGTTCTTTGACGAAAGTAAATCGAATCAAATGACCGCCACGTGAACTCGTCACTGATGAATTTAATGTATCTTTAGATGAGTACGCCTTTTGAAAGGATTTTATTCCATTATATTAAATCTATTTCTTAAAACGGAAATGTGTGAAAATTAAAATTTTCTTAAAAAGTTGTTATATACTCAAAATGTTTGTTCAATTAAAAATTTCAGGTGAAAAAATTATTGGATTTTGAACACAGTCACGCTAGTCGAACTCATTATTGTTAAAAGTTTTCGATTCCATGAATAATCAAACACGAAATGCACATTTGGGACTAACTAGTCACAAAGCGGCAGGGGTAAAACCGACTACGAATTTCGTTGTTTCCCTAATGAAAATTTCATATTAAGATCTGAAAAGTGGGAAATTATTAAGTTTTTTGTGCAATGCCATTTATAACATTATTGTAAAGACGATAAAAGCTACGGTTTAAGCACTTCAAACCGCCCCGTCCAGGCCAAGCTCTACGCAATAACGAAAGCGAAGGTAAGCGCGGGGCTAGCAATGGCTAGTGGGACATAATTGTATCAGATTCACCTGCTTTTCTATTTGAGCAACACTCATTTTGTCCTTCCTCGCATTTCGTGAGTCATCGAGAAGCTCTGCCGCTAGATGGCTCACTCTCGCCCCACCTGCCCTTGAACGTGAGTCCCGGAGAGCGCTCTCAATGCACGATGTTGACCCGGAATCACTGCAGGAATCGGGAATATTAAAGGTAGGAAACTGACAACTGGCGCGGCAGATGATTGACACAGAAAAAAAATACAGTCCACGCTCGCCACACTTGAGGACTTACAAGTTCAACTATACAAATAGTATAGTTATATATTATTTTAATTGAACAGTTTAATTGAATAGTTATAGCATTTACAACGAAAAAGCACGTGGATTGTACTTTCCTCACGAAAAAAGAGATCATAGAGGAAGGTGTATGCAATGTGATTTCGAATGAAGTCACCAAATACTGTATGTGAAGAAAAGTGGCGTCAGTCAGAAAGTGAAAGTGTTAAAAAATTTAGGCCAGGAAACACGAGCAAAGTTTATACGTTAAAACATAACAGAAAACAAACTGCTAGTTGACATTTTTTTTTTAAGAAAGTACCTTCTCAGTACACATACCAGCATATGTTAACATCGGCTGAGCTGCCTGGTGGATTCTAAATCCAATACATTGAACTCACGAAAAATCTAATTCTATCTTCTGTATGTGTCCTCTTCCCTACTCTTTCCTTAAGTTACACGTTACAAGAAAGCATTCTTTCTTACTTTTAAAAATGGCGCCTACGATAATAATGCTAGCGATATAATAATGCTAGTGCCCGATTAGACTCTCTTTAGGCACATAGATATTGTTTCACAAGTGAGCAGGAGGAAAAAACCTAATGTTAGCTCCTATCGACCGACAATACTGAAGGGGCCGAAAAAGTCCCTCCTTTCGTGCTCAGGAGAAAGAGATACAAGGCGGCTCCACACATGTGGCATTCGGCGAATCCCGACGAATCCCGAGTAGGGTGGACGGGTCGCTTGCGATTCGCCGAGCGCCGAACATTGGGTATTCACCCTACCCACCGCGTGTCGGTCTTTAGGACACATCAAAGTGAGCGACCATTCGCCGAACACTCAGCTGCTCGGGAGTGGGCGAACAGGAGCTCACTGCTTGGCGAATGCCGAATATACCCACTTACTGGTTCCACTTGATCTCGTTTCCCTCTCGAAAACAAACCGTTCCGACGAGGGTCGAGCCGCGCGAATAACAAAAACAAAGCACTTGGCGACCCGCCACTGTTTGCGCGCATGTTACCTGTGTCAGGAACAGGCGCTACGCCCCGGCCGCTGCCACTACTTCTCCCCCGTGCCCCGCACACAGTCTTTTACTGGGTTTTGACGAAAATAAATAAAATTAATTCACAACAACCGCCATCGCGGGCGAATCCGGTGGGGATAACCTGCAGGTGAGCTCTTAATCCCCGACTCATGCTGGGTCGTAGGCGTTTCTTTTTACTTGGAGGGGAGCAAATTAATATCTTAAATAATTTTATCTGACAATTTAATCTTCATCTTTTTCCTTCTACATAAATCAAATTGGTGCGTCTCATTGTGATTTGAAAGTAGCTGCCTTTTTTTATAACCGCAATTGCTTATAAAAACTAATTTATTTTAATTAACGATCTTTGTCTCTCTAATTTTTGTCCTCCTCTGCAACGGCCGAAGCGATGTCGACGCTGTCACTGAAGTTGTTTTCGCGTAAGTTGGGCTACTTTTTCAAATTATTTTCTCTTATATAAGGAAGGATTGTTTGAATGCAAATCTATGGTTTTATTCGAATCTTAATGATATTTTGTACAGGTGACCAAAACAAGATAAATGTTACCGTCCCAATGAGATTTTCTACACAATTCGCCTACACTCTTTTCACCACAAACATGTGTATAAAATACCGTTTCTTAAAAATATTTCTCTTTATAGTAATTCATTAGAACGAGCGTTTAGTCCTTCGATGCTCTATCTATACTCCCTTCAAGCGCTCAGGGCGGAGTGGTATTTGGCGGCCTCTTTCTAAATCGCTGAGCCACCTACGGATTGGCACTGTCTCTGCCTTGAACGCTTTGTATCTTAAATTCCCATTCAGACATTTTCCCTTAAATAGAAATAACACTGGATGTCTGCAAAAAAAAGTCTACATTATAAGAAAAAAAACACTCGCCCTATTTCATTGAAGTAAAATGGCAGAATTTTCATATAAATGGCTCAATACACATCGCAATGATATGACTGGGTTGGAAATCGTTTCCAACCCAGTCATATCCACGGCTACATGTCACATGACAGTTACCGAGAGCTAAAATTTTGAGTAAAAGTGATTTTCTTCTCAGCAAATCACGCCTGGAATATTCGAAAAAAAAAAAAATCGCGCAGGAGTTACCAACTCATTTCCCCATACACCGTTCTCCCGTTTCGCTTGTGAATAAGTCACGTTTGCGGGATCCAGGTAGAGCCATCTGCCTCCGAGGCACGCACGCCTGCCCGGCATCGTTCCCTCCGGCGCCAAAGGCCTCATTCATCCGGACGTGAGGCACGTGTGTGCTTACCTGTCGCAATCCGGGGACGTCTCCTACAGCCGTGCCATCGGCGCGCACCCAGATAATCTCCGCTGTAGGTTTGCCACGAGCCACACATGCCACTTCAGCGCCGGTGGTGTTGGAAAAGTCGACTCGGTTGGGGGGTTCTCGCACGAAGACCGGGCCGGACGTCTCTTCGTCGGCCGGTCCAGCAGTAGCTGCAACACAAAACAAGAGGCACAGTTAACGCTTAGCTTGAGTTAAGAAAGTAAAATACGATTACATACAAGACATCGTACTAGGAATCTCAACTGAAATCCTTACTGCAACAAGAAGTGTCGGTATCTGGGTCTGGAACCCGTCCTATTTATTTATTTATTTGCTAGTTTTTATTCATTTATTTATACTAAAAAACAGTAAAAAAGGGTTTTGGGCGTTTGGGATAGAAGTATAATCTGTGTTCGTTTTATCTTTCTCGCACTTATTTCGTAAGAAGAGAAGGTTATGTAATCGTGCTACGGAAAACGGAGAATTTCGGCAGAAATACTTTTTGACGGACCTTCGTAACGAAAAAGTGGATAAATCCTGTTACCACATACAGTAAATTACTTCTTCTAACACGTGGGGTAGCCAGAATTCGTTTTGTGGATCCTCGATACTGAAAAATCGATTGACGGCAAAACTTCAGCCTCTCCGGCCCGCCGGCCGACTGTGTTCAACGCTAGCACCTAATCCGCTCAGCCGATTTTCTCCAAAATTGATATTGCCCAATGGATCTGGCTGATGTAACGACCCCTTGAATTTAAAACAGATATTTTCATTTTTGTATGTACTTTACATGTAGCCGCTGCAACATTTTCCAAAAATGGCTCCATCATTTTTTTATTAAATTTTGTTATTGGGCGGAACGTTTTGAAGGACGTTTAAGAGAATGGCGCAGGTCTCATGTTCATTGAAAACCCTAATTTTTTGAAATGTGCATAAGTTCAACATTTTATCGGTGCCTTCCTACAACTACAATTATGAAGATGGAAATTTTTCGAACATTTGAGTAGTTTTCGTGTAATTTTGCGTGAAAATACGGGGGACGGATCATATTTCAGGCTTTGCACTTGAGATTTCTACAGACACAAGGGAATAAGAACGATTTTACACGGATTTTGTTTCGGTGGTCAGCTGAAGGTGCGTCCGAAGACAGTCGATAGAAAAGGCACCATTTTATGCAAAGTATCGTCCGTTAACTAAAAAAAAGGAGTTAAATAACAGAAATAAAACCTTAACGAGGTTTGAACACAGTGATCGGCTGTGGAGTACGCAATAATAGGCTACAGAAGTTGGACTCAACAGCACCTCAGAAAATAATTTCCACTACATGCATCCGGATGATCTTTCAACGGCAATGAAAACAACAGATTTCCTTGGCTCATGTCCAAGCAAAAGAGATGATACAATCAAACATATGCCAAGTCGCAATGTGTTTTGTTTTTGCAATGAAAAAATATGAGAACTCATGAGCATGGGTCAGTACATTTAGAAAAGAGAAAAGCAAGTCAAGTCTTATCAGAAGGGTTTCCTTCTGTCTCATCATCGGCTCGTAGATTTGTATTCAATGACCCAGAAATTGCCAAGATGACATGAGAGCAGTGTGAATGAAGATCTATTTTTACCACGATTTCATTTTGTAGAACGTAAAACTACCAATTCCCTTTAAAAAATGTTTTATTCGATTAATAAACGAGAAAACTGGACCCATTATGTAGACTCAGTAGTTTATAGCAAACTAACACTATTTTTTCTCCTTTCCAACATAATTTGTTTGGCGTTTAATAAATAAATAAATAAATAAATACATAAAAATATACAAATATAAACTGTAATATGAATCCTGTTTGTCAAATATAAACTAATAAAATGCCTAAACGTATAAAATGTTTCTTATAAGTTTAGGTAATAATATGCAATTTAAGAATTTCCATGCAAAAACAATGAAACATTTTAATTATTATCTGAGAAATGAGAGAGCCTACATGGCAAATGTCTGCATTGTTTAAAAAATAGCAATTAAGAAATGCATAAATTGCATTTTTGAAAAAGTAATTGCCATGAACAGTACGTAAGTTGGTCCGGAATGAGTTAAATGCAATAAGTAGGAATTTACTCCCTTTCCATAAACAAGTAGCTTGGCAATAATGTTAAACCTTGTGTGAGACTAGACAACATACCTGCTCCCTTCTAGTGAATATTTCATACATGTAAAGGACGACTAACAACGTGATGAATATAACTGACAGCAGTATGATCGTAAGATTCCATTATACCGTCCTCATCCAATCATTGAAGAGTGACAAAAGACTCGCAAAAGCAAACCTACAAAAGACGGGAAGTGGGCAATGTAACCATCTACCCATCCCAGTGGTGTAATGGTCTGCGCCCTCAACAAATTAATACACGAATGGAATGAAGATAAATTCTCACAACCTTTTTGCACTGGCTCAACAGTACACAAGGGCTTTTACATGTTGCTTTAATAACAACTCAAAGAGTTGATTTAACCTTCAATTTGAAGAAAGATTTATCATAGCTCGTTAAAAATACATCATATTTAGTTCCGATGGAAATACGACTTTCGTGACGGAAAGTAGGAAGTTGTGTAATATTGTAAAGTTCAGCCAGGACAGCCAAATGAGGGGGTGGGAGTGGGATTTGGGGAATTGACATAGCTGCCTACAAAAAAAAAAAAAAAAAAAAAAAAAAAAAAAAAAAAAAAAAAAAAAAACACTTGAGCAAGAATTTCGCTCAATGAGAGCTATTAGAACCAATGATTTTTTACTCGAGACACTTGACACGTTTCAAGAGCGTTCTGCTCCATGTGAAGCGAACCAGACGCCAGCGTCCGCCGTGGCCTTGATACAACGCGTGCTTTGTGTCCGGGTGTTGGAAGTTAACTCGGCGAATGTCCGACGAATGCTGCCCATCGCCTCGGCGCACGGTGCGAATGCGCCCGAAAAGCTGGCCAAAACGAAAAGTAATGTACAAGACGTACGTTTTAACTATACGTTTTTTCTTATGGAGGGGGGGGGGCACTGATTACGAATCTAACGTCAAATGTAAGCTGCTAAATGTTATATTATTAAGGTACCTAATAACTGATTCTTAGAAAAATTAAAGACGGCGGTAGTACCTAGAAATCATATTTTCCATCCCGCGAAAACATAATATTATTTTTAAAAAAACGAAAAATGTTGATTTTAAAATCAAATTACACATAAGCAAATAAAACAAATTACGTTACTAACAAGATAGACCAGACATTCTTCAGTAATAAAGATTTTCCCGGAGGTCAGCATCGCGCTCATTCATTGAACATACAGATTTCCTGCCCTAATGCAATCTTCCATAGTGACGCACGTGAACGCTCGGTGAACCTGAAATATATCAATGAATCAGTAACAAAACGTACACAATAAACCCGTGTTTTAGTTGTGCTTCGACTCTCAATGCTCTCCTTTTAAATTCTATAAGGCACCTGCAACTATGTAAGCAGAATTTCATATTTTAGGTTTTTGGCCAGGTTTCCGGGATTTTCCCCCACTGTGCGGTGCCGCGGCGGCCCGCGACACCCGGACCGTCGATGACGCGTGCTCCGGTCAAGATCAGCTGGCGAGGACGCACTTGCGCCAGTGTGCTCGCCGCCCGCCCTCGCCGCCCGGCCGTCCGTCGCCGCCGCCCGCCACCTAGGGCGAACGGCCGAGCACAACGGTCGTTCAGCGCGGCGGTTTGCGGTCGTTCGCGAAATACTGCGGGCGCCAAATGAGTTACAACAGCACTTCTTGGGAAAAAGATGACGTGTCCACTGCGCCACGACTCCCGGATTCGACGCAGATTTACAGCGCGCTCTTCGCTCTTGAGTGAGCTCTGTATTTGAAAGGGCTTGCGAATGTTCGGTTTTCGCCAAACGATTTATTTGTCTTTGAAGGCAAGTGTAAAGGCACCGAGAAAGCATTGACAGAAAGATGAGAATGCATTTAAATGTAAGGAAAATGACGAATACTTAGCTGGACATTGCAAGATCAAAAAAGTATTCCGTGGCATGAATAAAACGCTGGTTTGAGACACATTCACTAGTTTGAGTGAAAAATAATACGTATGAAATAGATATACGATGGAGTATTATAAATATCAGCAGCGATTCGTGTAACAATTTGAAGGTTGTTATAGTTATGTCGCAAAAAAATGCGAAAAATAAGATGAGATTATACTTTCTGTTTTCAACTCGATTGAGATTATACTTCCTGTTTCCACTGATCCAAAGAGCAAATGTTAAACAATGTCTTGGCTTGTTTCAGGGCAAAAATGTCAATTTACTCCACATCCAAATGTAACGTAGTTATTTTGTTTTGTATGAATTAGTATTTATTGATTCAGAGCGTGTTAATTATTTAGCTAATTAGTCAAGTACGGGAAGTGCATGTTATACTTCTGGAGGTAGTGGTGGTGGTCGCAGTAATGGTAGTGGTGTTCTCCCGCTTGAGCATTAGATCCATGAACGAACTGCACCTCGACCAGCAGTTTTCTCTTCCTGGTATCTCTCCCAACGGGGTATCGCCCCAGGCTGGATAAGCTCTAAACTCCAAAGTGGTGCGGTAATGTGGTGCATGTATGTGTGTGTGTATGTGTGTGTAATAGGGACAGGATGGGACAAGGAGGATGAAGGAAAGATCGCGCGCGGTCCGGAGCCTATTTGTGACGGCAACGCACCAGCGTTCGCCTGGTATTGAGCAGACAAACGACGGAAATCACCCGACAAGAGCAGGCGGCCGCTAGAATTCTTCTCCGAAATGTTTGAATAGCCCGCCAGCAATATGGGTAGTGTTGGAAATCCGCAACCGACGTGTCTCAAACGCCACGACCTCTCCGTCGCCGATGCTACGGAGGCAACGGTGACACTGCCGAGCAAGTGCACCCGCAAAAAAAAAAAAAAAATTAGTACATACAAATAGAATTTAGAACAACGTTTTCACAATATTATTTTTCTAAACTGCCCAAAGGAATTTTAGAGAACGAGGTCGAGCAAAACCCATCTAAAAACAACTGCAACGTTCTCTAAAAATGTGAAAAAGTATCTTAATAACCAACCTTCTACATTCTAACAACCGTAAGTGACATATTGTTACACGAAAAAAAGGGGTTCTGACTATTTCGACGGAGCCCGTCTATG